TATATCTCTTATAAGATTTCCCATTTATCACCATTCGATTTATTTAATTTCTTTAGTCGTCTGTCAACACGTTCTATAAATAATCAAACGCGATTATTCATATTTCAATTTTTATTTTGTAAATAAATAATTAAAAAAATAAATAATTAACAAAAAGAAAATATCTCTGACAAGCTCTCTATTCAATTTATAAGTAGATACGTAGGTTAGTACAAGTACAAAGAACAAATTTTATTTAATAAAAAAATCAAATTATATTTAATAGAGTTCTCGAAACAATAATAAATATTAATTAGCGGGTATGAGAAATATCTTTAATTCTTCGTTGGATAACAACGGAGATTATTTACTTAGTTATTCAACGAAGAGAATTAACGGCATTTCTCAATTAAGAAATAGGAGTATGCTCATATATTATCTGCAACATGTGCGGATTGGAATATTGTTCATGAAAATTATGGTATTGCTGATGATGGTTTAAAGTAAACCGTTCAAGAAATTTGTTATCAACAAATAATATGAAATTATAGTGAATATATTTTATGTATTGCGCTCCACAAGTACCGCGTGTATGCTCCTCATTGCTCGATAATTAATATTTATTCAATATTTAATAATTCAAATATTTTAAAGTTACCACAATCTGCAGCTCTTTGATATTTCCCGCAAAAATTTCTTTTATCGCTTTTATTCTTTCTGTTGCATTAGAATAATTCCTGTACTACTGAATATGAATTATCTCAAATGAAAAACGAAGCGATCAATATCATCACATGTATGCGCAAGCATGTTAAATAAAACCGCGGTAATTGAAGTTATGCGAAAAAACGAATGATTTTCTTTTCTATAATATAATGAAATTGCAACAGCGAAACGCTATATGACGCATTAGAAAGAAAAACTGCGGAATGTAAGGGCATATGTACGAATTTCTGACTCTCTCTCTTTTCTGCCTTTCTCTCTGCTCGCTATTTGATGCGAAAAAAAGAGAGTGTGGCGTGCGTAGGACACGCGCAATCTCGGCGTACAAAAGGATCGGAATCCATTACGCGGCAAATTTTTCTCGGATAGAAACGAGATTTTTTTTTCGATCACGTAGCATGAGATTTATCACCGCTTTGAAGCATCGTCCGCATCCTCTGCTTTTCGTGCTTGTGAAGCATCCAGAGGCGCATCAATTCGCCATGAGGAAAAAATATGATCTCGCGATATCGTACTATCAATAGAAAAATAGCCCAGTAATCTGATCGATATTGATCAATGTAGACACGTATCGAGTATACTGGCATATAATAACTGACCAAGAGAGCAGTGATTTGTTAAAATATTACTAGTGACAATAAATTTTTTTAGTCTATTTCAACAAATTTGGTATGAATCCTATACACAAAGACAATTTTTCAATACGATAAAATTTGTGCTCTTGTTAATAAATAAAAAATACAGGCGCTTTTGATTGTTTTATTTTCAGTGGTAATTTAATTTGTCATTTTTCTGTTTGATTTTTCGATTTTAAACAGAAAATAAATATCCCGAGTGGGTTCATTTAATTAAAAACAAACATGCAACTGTAGCTTTGAAAAATACTTTCAACCGATTGTTAGATTCATGTGTTTATATAATGTAAATATATACACCCAGAGAAAGGTTTCTTTGATTTAAAGAAATGTTCCTTTACTATATGGTTAAAGAAAAAATTTTTTCGATTCAAACGTCATTTTTTTTATTTAAACATTATTTTTTGAAATCAAATAAAAAAATTTATTTCATTTAAAAAAATTATGTTCAAATCAAAGAAATGACATTCAAATCAAAGAAATTGTTTCTTTAACAGTATAGTAAAGAAACATTTCTTTGAATTGAAAAAACTTTTTTCTGGATGTATTTCGCGTTGATTTAACATAAACGCGTTTGCATATAATTATTCAGTGTTTCATTTGATTTGGAACTAATAACATATTTTCACGAAGTTTAACGTGCAAAAATTAAAGAGAAAGATTCCGCAAAAAAGCTATTATCTGCTATGTATCTTCGAAGTTTGTACACCTCGCTTCATTAAAAGCGGTATACGACTTGGTGAGAAAGGAAAGTAAAGACGGCGAACTTTTGTAAATAATAGCGGGTCCTTAGTCGCCACGTCGGGTGAAGGAAAATCCGTTTACGCTTTCGTCGCTCTTCGCAAACTCATACACGACACTTGAGCTTTCGCTGCAAACTTTTGGCGTGAAAGTAAATAGAAATTTAAGCTAGATGAATAGAATAGACAAAGTTATGAACATTCTGTTCTTTCGTTAATCATCCGCGGTCGCCTGTCCTTTCCATTAAAAAAATTTACTGTATAGCAAAGATAATTCAAGTCCAAATCAGATTTACAAACAAATTTGTTCACTAAAAAAAAAAATCTTAATTTCAAAGAAATATTTTTTTGCTCGTATTAAAAATAATTATTTTTTTGAATCAATGAAAATCGATTTTATTTTATTTTCAAAGAAAATTTTCATTGATTTAAAGAAATAATTTTTTTGAATACGAGCAAAGAAATATTTCTCTGAAATTAAGATTTTTTTTCAGTGTTATTTCATTATAAAAATTCCCACATAGTTCAGTTATAAAATTCGTTAATTCCTAGCAGCAATGTGATTTACGTGAAAACTGAAACGCCGTATTTGGCAACTGTGACTGAAATGAGAATTAATTTGTATGATGTAGAAACGCTCGTTTCAATGCGACAAAATCACCGCAATACAAATGTGTGATGTGGTAAACATTAAGTTCACGCTAAGAGTCCACCTATATTACATACAAGACGTTTTCTCGCTCTTGGTATTTCCTTCATATATTTTCTTAATATAAATTTTATGTAAAAACAAAAAACTACTTTTAAAAAATTTGTAATTTTAAATACTAAATATTTTTTAATTCAAACGTTAATTTAACGTTATCTTAAACTAACATTTACATGAAATTAATTCTTAAACGCCTTTTCAATATGATATATTCGACTTTTTTTCCAATACTTCTTCATACCTTTTCCATTGCTTATAACTTTAGTATTAATAGATACATACATTTGCTTAGTATCGTTGTTCTTCTCCAGCGTATCAATTGAAATGACATTTTTTGCAACATATTTGTTTTATGACAGTTATATAAACAATTGAATTGGATTATATACCAGTATATTTCCGCACACCGTTAAATTAATAAGTCAATTTATATTCAATTTGAGCCTCGTCCATGATAAAGCACAATAGATCCGTAAAATATTTGTATTCTTAAATTCTTAATACATACATAATTTTTTATATAGAAGCCATTACTTACTCACCATATGATGCGCAGCAGCGGAGTTGATGATAGCGAAATCTATAAAGTACAAAATATGATATATAAATTAATAATTCCAAATTCCCAAAATAATAAGTAAATATTTCAGAAAAACAATTATTGCTTGTGTGAAATAATTTTAAAGTAACAGTAAATTTTACGAGTACAAATGAAATAATAAATAATACTTTACGTTGCTCCGCTGCCACCTGATGTCTCCTCCTCCTCTTCTGATTCCTTGATGGCACTCACAATACGACACAATACTTTCGAAACGCACTTAAATACGATCACGTACGTTGCTCGTTGTAGAATACAAGGATCCCAAGATACTTAGCACAACATTCCCATTGTTAACCCACGATGTCCTGTAAATAAGCATAATGGACGAATCTCAAATGATCGGTTGATATTACACTGAAGTTATATTGCGTGGTTAATGTACGAATCTGATTAGGATTATACTATTCTTAGGGAATTATCTTTCATTCTCTATAGTACCTGCTATGATTGCGTACCGAGAGATAATACTATGATGATGACAGGTATTAGAGAATGAGAGATAATGACTTCAAGATTACGTACAATAAATAAAATCAAAGAAAACGCTGCATGTCGAGTGCCACCTGATTATTTCTACGAAATATTTAATATATACTAATAATAATATGAAATAAAATTCTTTATATTTCAAATAAATTGATAATGAACGATTAATACACATCGCAGGTTTTTTGTTACTTAAATCGACTCGGCCCGATAATTTATGTTATACCGCACTTTAAATCCGGAAATGTCAGATAAATCGATGGAAAATTCCAAGCACGAGGCGAGATAATTTCGATCGGCATTAGGGAAATGATTGTCGTCTATAAAGCAACAGTTTATAATTTCCTATCTCCATCGAACTATGTAAGAAAGAGATAAAGAGAAAAGAAGAGGATAGAGAAGAAGAGAGAGAGAGAGAGAGAGAGAGAAAACGAAAGAGAGAAGAGAGGAAAGAAAGAGAAAAAGAGAGATCTCAATAAACAGTCTTTTTCTTTCACGCTATTATCATAATCCAAATTCGTACACACCAGCAGCGAGAATCGATTACAATATGATCTTGCCACGATCACGTTCCGAAAGACAATAACACGTAGAGCAGCTCCGACCGTTAACGACTGAAGTCACTACGCCCGACCGCGCAGTGACCTTATTTACGAAGTGTACGCGCTAAGTATTCAATCCGCAAAAATTTCAAATACCGTGTGTCAACTAAATTATAATCGCGAAATATTTATCGTATTAAGTTCATCTTAAATTATTTAAAATTTTCATCAGATTAGAAAAAAGAATTCTAGTAGATATAATTTTATATGCCGCACGCACTTGCAGGTATATATCTTAATATACAATTTGTATAAATGTGTATTGATTCCTCAAAATGTTTTTGGCACGTCATATGTAGAATTCTATCTTGAAATCTGACCTGAATTATAAATGGTCTAAAGTAAACTTTGAAAAGCAAATATAGCCGAAATATATTTCTTGCATTTCAAATTAGTTTTAATAAAAATGTACTATACATTGTTAATTTAACTGTGTTGTTAATTGTTGCATGTTAAATTTAATATTTATTGAAAAAAATATGACATTAATATGTATGTAAGTATACATGAAATTCTTTTAGAGTTAGTACTAACAATTTCGAGTTCCTAACTAAGATTCCTCTCTTATAATTAGGTTATACACAGCTGGAATTTTAAATTTTGTTCAAAACTAATCGAAAAATATTTTTTCGATCTACATTCCCGAAACTCTATTTAAAAAATTCTTTGCTTTTCGCTCCAAAACTGACGCATTGATAATAAAACATTTCTCGTATCATTTCTTGGCTCTATCTGCCATTAGAATATACATCGTCAGTTTTGAGAAGCGCTACATATTTTTCATGTGTTCGCGTGGAGCCATCCATCTCTTAGATCTCCATTGAGATCTAAGCCAAGCATAATGGACCAGTAATGCTCACGGAAGCGCATTCTACCTAAATCTCTAGTACTTTTCTGTTAGAATCTTTGAGACGAACATCCTGCGGGCACCGCGAATGCAGCGAGCGACGACTGCGTTAAAGAGACACAATGCAGTTTCAAAGTACCATTTGCGACGCATTCGTATTTATGTCGCTTTGAGAAATCAATGGTAAGCTTTCTAAATGAGCAGCTCACCTATCTTACGTTGCATTTCTGTCTTCATCCGTTCAATAAACATCCTAAGGAGAAATTCTTGTCTTAGAGAATCATAATTTTTAAGGATAATATAACAATAACTGATTTTCAACATTAAAAAATAAACACGCACAACAAGAATAACTATAAAAATATAATTAATTATTTTATACGTAATTAATATATTAAACATTAAGTCGTTTATGCGATCAGTCATTATAATATAATAGGACCATTTTAATTATATCTCCAGAATTATATCCCCTTCTTCAAACATTTTCAAAATAATAAGAAAAGAACAAAAGCGTGAGTGTCCCACAATTGATAATAAATAAGAGGATAAAATTAAATTTTCAGCGTAGTAAAGCAATTTCGCCATTTCGCCAGTGCATGAAAATGCGAGCACATGGTGCGTTTTCGAAGAGGAAAATTAAAATGGATGAGACACCCATCTCGAAGGAAAGATCAGATAATGTGAACGCCTTCACTCGAGTGTTATTTTAAGAAGTGGCAGGAATATGGAGGCTAAGACATTCTTTTTGACGTACTGTTATTTACGGTTGAACGGGCACATGCCAGAACGAATTTCGCGTTATCTGTTATCGCTCGCTAACTCAACAGCACACTCTCTCGCAGTAAAACTCATTACAACATCCTTTCTTTATCATGCGTGTCAAGATGTAAGACAAATGCATTCCTTGCCTCTTGACAAACTTTTCTTGTTTATCTTTAATGGTTTTTTACATAGATACTTGTATGATCTCGCTTCCTTACTTAATGTAAAAATAACACAATTAAAAAAATTTAGTTTTTCAGAAAAGAGGAAAACTATTTTTCAACGTGACAGAAAATAAGTGATTTAACAACTAATATCAACAAAAAAAATATATTTTTAACATAATCAAATATTATTTTTTGTCAATGCTGTTCCACGACTCTTTAAAAAAATCATCCTTTTCGAATTGCGATTATTTTGACAATTTTTTCTTACGTTAATTCACTTTTGGTGATTAATAGGATGTTTAATTTAAGGGTATAAGTTTTTATAAAAAGTGACTGGAAATTTATATTTTTCATATAAAAATACATATAAATATGAAATAGTTTAATAGATTCAATATTTAATATTTAGCAATACAATTTTATAATTTAAATGAAAATTTGAATAATTTTTAAAAAATATGTCTACTTCTTAAAATAATTTTTGATCCAGGTTTTAAATCGCTGCCAAGTTTTTTGTATTATTTCAAATACTTTCAAATACAAATAGAAAAATATGTAATTTTTTTATTTTATTAAAAAAATACGTGTAATACATTTTTAACTCATTCATGATAATAACTCGAGAATTATTTTTTTAATTGTATCACTTTTAATATAAGGGAATGAAGTGTCAATAACGTAAAATTTCCATGCAATGACAAAAAAAGTTTAGCTTCGATTTAAAATGTCATCAGACTGTCTGAAAAATATTGGAAAAAATATTATTTTTATGGGAAAGGTAATGCGATAAGTATGATCTAACGATTCACATGATGAATTTACAGCAAGCATAAACGAGAATATCAGTTTTTCACTGCACAAAATGCAGGAGCGATTTGCAGTGAGAGTCACAAACGTTCGTGAACTCGATTTTATCCGGGTATTATGTCGCGTTGTTATTTTGATGAGATGTAAAGCCGGATTACCGCTGGCAAACACTGCACTCCACATGTAATATTTTATGTGTACCATAAAAATCTATGATATATTTTTATAACAGTATATAAATCGATAATCGATGTTTCAATAAAAAGATAATTGATATATATTAATGTGAAAGGAAAATAAAGATAAAATTCTTCTCATTTGTGAATTAATTGTTTAAACATGACGTAGAAATTCATATGTATGGATATACAGACACAGTACATGTATTATTTTAGAATTATTCACAAAAAATTTAGTTTTTTTAATAAACATTTTTATGTAATAGTTATATTACATTTATTTAAATGTTCATAATCAAATAAAATTTAGTGAAAAATATTGATAGAGGTGTAGTTCTCAGATTGATAATAGTATAATTAGCTGCTAAATGTTAGTAGATTATTAAAGCGTGGCATAACCTTTAGAAAATTTCGACCTTATTAGTTCCAATTGATAAACTCTGAACTTTCATTAGATTTCATTACTTCCCTAAATATATTGCATTCTATTCAGTTTACTGACTATTAACAGCGTTTAGACGTAATAACTTGGATATTGCAAAATCGTTCGCAGTCTTCATAAATTGCCAGACGGTTTATAGACACTATTCCTGCAACAGACGCAGGTTATAGATTGTAATTCCTACAAATATGTCAGTCTTTTTTTTATTAAAAAAAAATAAACAATGGCCGATCGGCCGAACGAGCTACCATTCATCAATATATCTCGAAAAAGATATCCGATGCTCACACACGTGTCCATAAAGAAATACAAACAACTTTTTTCGACTTGTCAAAAATGTAGAAATAACGATTCTTGTGTATGTGTGAACGTGAACAAAGTTTGAATAATTGTACGTTGATATATGCATAGATACACAAAACTTATTCAAACATTATCGAAAATTGGTAAGAAGGTAGTTTGTTAAAATAAGTTCAGAAATAATGTTTGTACAAGGAGATAAATTGTTTGATATTTATGACTATGATTGCATAAAATAATTAGATACGGAGCTGTATTATATTATAATGTTAGTAATTATACTTATAGTTCTACCAAAAAATATATAGTTGACAATAAAAATAACTATATAAATTATAGTTAAATTACGGAAACTGTAAACCATTTTTTCTCTGAATATATCGAATATATAAAATAAAAATTTTTCGCATTTATAAATCAAATATCTGTCAAAGATGTTGCTAAAATCAATATTTAACGCCGTATTGACAATATCCACATCTCTTTTTAACGGAAATAATTTAGGTCAACGACAAGATAAATATCAACTGCCGTGTCAGTTATGAAATTGACAGTTTATTGTTACTTCGACAATCATTCTGGTCTCTCTCTCTCTCTCTCTCTCTCTCTCTCTCTCTCTCTCTCTCTCTCTTATGATTCATTACGTTTAATTTATTTATAAGTATCCATAATAACCATAATATTAGTTAATCGTATATCATTACCATAGA